GCTATAGAACCCGGTATCCTACTATTTACCCATAGCTGGGGTGGGAGAAGAGGAGGATCCATACCTTTCCCAAGGTTATTAGCACATAAGTGAATGTAATGGATTAGACAGGAATTCGACACCGGCTCTCTATTTCCTCAATCCAAGCTGCTATCCATTATAATGATTTATGGATATATTCATACATAATTGCTTGCGAAGACATGTGTTTTGTCCATAAACTCCGTTTTGAAATTTTCCAATATCTAAAATCATTTAAAGATTCTAGTTTCTTGGAAAATGCCAACCTTTCATATTTTTGGAATCCGTTAGACATTTTGTCAGCCATAACTATAAACATGAAATATGTAACAAAAAAAAGCATATTACACATCAAGCTCATTCGGAATGTAAATTTATTAAAACTTACTAAGTAGTTTCCTTACAAATTGCACAAAATAGTCATATAAATGGCTATAAAACAATTCTACTAGTTCCAGTTGAATACTATAGAACTTTCAGGCAATTTTGAGTCAATTTTGATGTTTGTATTAATGAAATGTGTTGATAATTATAGAATGCAAGCATATTAAGCTCAAAATATTTTTAAAAAATATGCCTAACCATCAAAGTTTTAGGTACCCCACTACTTCTCAGCATCTATCAAATTTTATTTAAAAATATGTCATACTCCACAACAAAATCGATATTTTGCTATGCATAACCACTTAAAACTTACCTTTGGCCTAATGTTATGTTACTAAATAAATTATTTTCACATACAAAGTTCCGTAACGATGAAAGAAAAAGACGTGATTTTTTTTTTTTTTTTGATCAAGGATAGACCTCCGAAGTTTTGGAGGTGTACTTTTCGTTTGTCTTTCATTCTTTGTCGTAAATTGCAGTGGAATCCTTAATTATGTCGAGACTATATATATATATATATATATATATATATATATATATATATATATATATATATATATATAGTGGTGGGAAACAAATATCATTGCACATGTTTAATTTATTGTATATCTACCTAATGAATAAGTATATTAATCATATAATTAAATGCATACAGAAGCATAATAACTAAAAGTGAATATAAAACATAATGTTTGATTTAATATAAATAAATCACATATATCCATTTTAATGGTGAAAAAAGTATTCGTAAAATACAAATAAAAGTATACATAAACTTCATTTAATACTTTCTAGAATAGACATTATTCACTTCTACATCAACCGAACTTTTTTTTATTCTCATTTAATGTTTTGAAAGATTTAGTTGGTGTTTTGTTCCATTTCTCTTCGCCTATGGTGTTCAGATCCGGGATATTTGATGGAGTACTCAATTGGATTTGAATGTTTAAACAACGCCACATATCCTCGATTGAACTAAAAGTTGAGTACTGACATGGCCACTTATAGATATTTACATTATTTTCAGCAAGCTTTGCAATGTGCTTAGGATAATTATCTTTTTTGAAGATCCAATTAAGAGAAAGTTCAAGATTTTCAACATAAATCATTAAATTTGCTTCCCAAATATTTTGATATGCTGCGGTATTAATTCTACCATCTATGCTGTCAGTACCTTTTGCAGAAAAGCATGATGCTGCCACCACCGAATTTCACTGTTCGAACTGTGTCCTTTTCTATAAAGATATCGCCATCTTTCCTCCATACATGATTTCTGAAGTTACGTCCAAACAACTCAAATTTGTTTTGGTCTGTCCATAATAATCTTTCCCAATGCGATTTTTCCTTATGATTATGTTCACGAACGAATTTCAAAATGGAATCTCTGTATCTTTTTTGTATTAGTGGTGTTTACCGGGGTGGGGGTTGGGCTTTGTAATTTTAGAATGTCCCCATGAATTTCATTGCTTATTGTCCGTTTAGTGACATAGATTCCTGATGAAAGCAAATCATTCTGCCAGACTTGACGAGTAACCATTGGATATTGTTTAATTTGACGCATTAATTTCCTCGAAATCCTGAAGAAATTTTCAGTGGTGGACCTGTTCTTTGTTTTACCACGGTTTTGAGATTGTTTTTACAGTGCATGAACTAATGGTAGTAAATGGGATAATAAGATTGTCTTTTACCTACTTTCCAGAGCTTAAGAATCAGTTCTTTTTGCGAATGTGTCAGTTGTTTAACTTTTGCTATAGTACCGCATTTAAAAAGACTGCTTTCTTTCAGATATATATAATATCCTCTTTTTTAAACATTTCAAAGTTAGATATATTTTCTTTGTTATTTAGCTTGTGACACTACTTCCCAGAAAACCAATATAGCTTATGAGAGTCAGGCATTTCAGAATCTACTAAAAGCATTTTTAGACACTCTGTGTGAAAAAAAGAAGCTGTGACTTCAAAACTCTTTATCAGATGATGAAACGGATTACGTAGGCGAAACATAATTAGGAAACGGCCAAAAACATTGATGCATTTTACGTTAGAACTAATCATAAAAATTGTTAATAAAAAAGATTCTTGTAATAACAATATATACTATACATGTTTTCATTAATATGAAATATAAAGCATTTATTCAGTAATATAAATATCTAATATGTGAAAAGCATACACACACAATGTTATATATATATATATATATATATATATATATATATATATATATATATATGTCGAAATATAGTTTTAAGGTGTGATATATGTATGGGATAAAGTGCTCAATATCCGGCACAGAGCGTATGTAAATATAAAATGAGCATTGAAGTCAAAACTCAGAGGCAACAGACTGTTTCATGCTAGACGTAATCATCAGGCCACGTGGGTTTTTCTCGATGGGTCAATTGTACATTGTTGGTAATCCATTCTAACAGTTATTTTGGCAGGATTGGTCTGTTTATTTATTTATGTGCAATAATGTATCTTATTGTTTTTTATTCATTTTTATTTTATATATTTGTAATAATTTCTTTTCGGTTTGTGATGATTTATTATTGTATCAAAGAGTTTTGAGATGAGTTCTGATCGTTTATTTAGTAGTAGTTATTTTGGTTTAGGAAGATAATTAAAGCTATTTTTCGACCAATTTTTGGATTGATTGTTGTAGTTTATTCTAACATTTATTTTGGCGGGAGTGGTTAATTTGTTTAAGATTTACTTTATTTATTTATTTGGATTAATTAATTTTACTTGTTCTTTCTTATTTTCTATGCTTTTCAGTCTATTTTAAAGGTTATTTTACGAGAGTTGTTAATTTGTTTATTATATGATTGGATTAATTTATTATACTTGATCTTATTTTTACTTTTACATTTCGCTTTTCGATTTATAAGTAATGTAATGTTTGTTTTCATGTCTGCATTTTAAGATGAGTTCTGATCGTTTATTTAGTAGTTTTTTTTGGTCGGAGAAAAAAATAATATCTATTTTTCCTTCCAGGCAAATTTTGCAGTTTTTGAATTGATTGGTGTAGGCGGATGGTCTGTACCTTATATTCTATGATATTTTTGGTGTGATGTGCGTTTTGTTTTTCATTTCTCAGATATACTTAGAAAACATTGTTCTGTTTGCGTATTTACTATTTGTGAATCATGTTTTGTGTGCATAGTTTCTTTGTTTCTAGGGTCCTTCTATTAGTCCTATCTATATTTTTCTTCTCGCGATTTTACCGTGGCTTAGTAAATTACGCTGTTTTGTATGTAATTAGTGTTTAAGAGGCATCCGTTCTTTAATCTGCAATTACATCTGGATTTAATTTATTCGGGTTGTTTTCTGGTAGTTTTTCTGTTGTGCTTGTTTATTATTTGTGCCATGGTCTTGGTTTAACTGTAGCTGATTTTTAGTTCGTTTTTGTTGAATATTTTGTCGAGAGTGCTTGATTCCGTGAAGTGTTTATGTAAGAGTTTGACTAATATTTTTCGTACGCTTGTTTTTACGTTTTTGCTGTACGGTGTGTAGAACCATATGATGTTTCTCTTATTTCTCGCTTTTTTGTGATATGTGGTGAGTATGTGAGTGTTGCCGGGAATCCACTAAATTTTAGGGCAGTTTCATAGACATTCTTAGCTTCGTTAAATTTTGTTCCATTGGAGGAATTGTCAGAAAGACATGGTTAATAGATTTTGGTATATGTTTGATTACAGATGGCCGGTGATTGGAAGATGCGTGTATATATATTGGTTAATTATTGGGTTTTCTGTCAAGTTTATAAGTACCTTTTCCTAGGTTGACAGTAACATCTAAAAAATCAACTTCGTTTTATTACCTTTTTTGTCTGTGTCAAATCCGTTAATTTTTAAAAAAAATATTTATTATTGCTATTCTAGTGTTATCTCTGATTTGTTGCTATAGTTTCTTAAGATTATGAGACCGTTGTCCCTGTAGACTCATATATCATTTCTATCTATTATGTTGCTTAGTTTCTGTAGTAAATATATACCTATGATTTCGCAGCTCTCTGCACCGTCAAAAACTCCGATTGTAGTGTCAAAGATTCATTATTTCTTTATCCACGCGTCTTCATTATGGAATATTAGTGATTTAAGGGAGTGTTTAATGATATCGATTTCGTTTGTGTTTATTATATTTGTTCCTGCATTATTTCAATACCGATAACAGAGCAATAATTATTTATTATAACCTTTTCATATAGAGAAAAAAAAATTACTCAGAACAAAGATGCAACTTAGTTTCGGTGCATTTAGTTGCACCTCGACTGGTTAGAACGAAAATTGTTATGAAAAGTTTTGTTTGTAAGCAAACCGCCTGTAGAACATGCCTTCTTTTTCAATTTGATTGAATACATACATATATATATCTATCTATCTATCTATCTATCTATCTATCTATCTATATATATATATATATATATATATATATATATATATGTTGTGGGGCTCTACTCTTTTTACATGATGGACTCGTCCAAAGTATACTTATACTGACAGAGAGAATACCTGCTGTTGAGATACGTTGAGATACGCTGAGACAGGTTGGGAGATACGGAGACAGACACAGAGCGTTCTCAGAGAGTTATACAAGAGTCCACAGAGAGAGAGATAGATAGATAGATAGATAGATAGAGAGAGAGAGAGAGAGAGAGAGAGAGAGATTAGAGCTTTACTTATAGAGACTTGTACATATACATTCTACTAACCCGCATTCCTGGACTACTAATCTTCACTTCAAGTCTGTATTCTTAAATTTAATACACTTATTTTTCTATCTCATTTACTGGCGATTTTTATTTATTTATGCAGGATTCCATTAACGGAATCAACATCAATATATATATATATATATATATATATATATATATATATATATATATAATGTACACGTGGACGGAAAAAACGAAGATAACCATGCATAAATACCAATAAGTATATATATATATATATATATATATATATATATATATATATATATATATATATATATATATATATAATATAAATTTTTATACACGCAAAAGCCTACATTTATTTGCATTTGTATATAAAATTTGCGTTTCAGTAGGTTCATACATTGCCGCGATATGGATATTAGATATTCTTTCGTAAAGTCATTTATCAAAAAGTATACCGCGACAAGGCTAGACATTTCTTCATGATGAATTTCTAAATATTCTATTATCATCATATACTTTATTTAGTTAGAGGCTCTGCTATTATACATCAAAATATATCTCTATGTATGTGTATACTTGATTTCTTTACTGCAGGTATGCAAAAGTAGATGAACATAAAATAACTTTAATAACAAGGGCAATGCGCAGATGATAGACTTGAAGACATGAAAAGAGAAAGTTATAACTGCCGGGTAAACTACGCATTACGCCGACAATCAAAAAGGAACTTTTTTTTTGTTGTTCTTTCATTTTTTTGTATTCTTTTAAAAGTAACATATATCGGACAAAAGCACGGTATCCTGTAATTATTTTGATATATAGGTACAATTTTTCATCGTTTGGATGTATATTTATAAAGTATTCGATCTATATATATATATATATATATATATATATATATATATATATATATATATATATATATATATATATATATATATTTATATATATATATATATATATCTGTGTCTGTGAATGTTTATATATATATATATCTGTGTCTCTGTATATTTTATATATATATATATATATATATATATATATATATATATATATATATATATATATATATGTGTGTGTGTGTGTGCGAGCGCGCACAGGCGTGTGTGTGTATTTGATAAATATATGCATATATAAATATATATATGTGTGTGTGTGTGTTTGTGTGTGTGTGTGTGTGTGTGTGTGTGTGTGTGTGTGTGTGTGTGTGTGTGTGTGTTGCTATGGATTGTCGTCTAAATGTTTTCTAAATTACGCAGTTAAGAAAATATCACTAACATCTCATTTTAACAGATATATATGCCAATCGTACAGAAAAATATCTTGATATACTAAAGAGCAAATTTATTCAATAAAATCGCCATTGTCTTCAACCACGGCATTCATACGACATCGGATCTCGGGCAACTCTTCTGAACGGACAAGTTGGTGAATGCTACCATAATCTTTGCCTTCAGTTCAACTTGGATGTCACTCGGAGTTTTGTCTGTCACTCGCTCAACTGAGCGGCACATATAATAATCAAGGTTGTTGCTGTCTGTGGAGTTAAGTGACAACATGTAAGGTGTGATGTGGTCGTATAAATTTACTGAGAGCTATGACAGGCTTTTTCTGCTTGTTTCAAGACTCCGTTGTTTCTCTCTAACGCACACGCGCTTGTAAGCACACACGCACACGCACATATTTATATTGCATTTCATCAATACAAGTACACTAAGTTTATGTTATATATATATATATATATATATATATATATATATATATATATATATATATATCCATCTCATCACTCACACTCTCTCTGTCTCTCACTTCATAGATAGATAGATAGATAGATAGATAGATAGAACAACACAGATAAGACATATTTTATAATTAACTCATTTCACATTGTAATGGGAATTAACCCCAACTATTGGTAAACTCACCAGTATATATTTATATCATAAATATATTTATATCCTTAAAAATTAAGTCTTTAAAAGGAAGAGACCCTGCTTTCAACCATGATAGATATCAGCGGCAGTACCTCCTGCGTATTAGCTGTTGAAAATCTATATAATGTTTGTCACTATCAGGAAAAAATTATAATAATCTGCGGAATCAGAATCAACGTTGAATTTAAGCAAGTTTATGAGCCAATTGGAATAAAGTGCCATGCAGTTTTAAAATTTTCCCACTTGTGACGAATGCAGCTATCGATTTTTTGCATGCTAGCATGCTTGCTAACATTCGTGTCAGTCAGCTGTTGACTCTCACACTGGTCAGCAGAATCGTCCTGCCTATTCGTGGAAGCCACCTATAAGCTTTCACTCTGGACAGTACAAATTCGCCGTAAACTACATGAAGACTGTCGTAGAAGCATGAAAGAAACGATTTTTTCCAATATCGATGGGAGATGGGAAATTTGTTACACACACACACACACACACACACACACATTCTGCCTTTTTTAGATAGAGATGAACAGGTCTTAATCGTTTATGACTGATTTTTTCATGATTCTTAAGCTTGGAGAGTGATTATATATACTTATTGCTCAAAGTATTCTTCAACTGTGTTATAAAAAACCCCGGAGAATTCCAGCAATGTTTATTTAATCATTTCTAAGATACACTATTTGAAATGTTAATCAAACAAATGGATACATTTGCTTTAACACAATTAAGACAATATCTTATTTTACAGCATGTATATATATATTCTGAGAAATGATCATAAATTTATATTTTTCGTTGTTTCTTGATATTGAATCAATATTACCATCTATCTTTTTATTTCTCTCCTCTCCACACCACTCTGCTCTACTTCACACCACCTCACCCCATTACGTCCTAAATATATTTGTTTTCTATTTTTTTCTCGAACCTTGAGCATTTCCAGCTACTTATGGTGCGTACAGTCACTGACAAACGACCATAGGTTGTACTGCAATGGTTTCATCAGGAAATACATTTTAATTTAAACACTTACCAGCCAAATATCTAATTGTTTTCAATTTCCGAGTTGTGATTTTCCTAGACTATTTGCCGATCAAGGATATTCCAGTTCTCTCTCACTCCTAAACCCGAAGCTGGTGTGGAAATTCATGCATTGATATATTGGCGAAATATTTCATTTGAGTGAAAATTAATATATCGTCAACGGTAGTAATTTGAACTGCTCTGATTTCATATTCCTTATCGATAACTGTTACATATAAAAACAAAGAAAATATTAGCATAGATTATCTTCGATTAAAGATATTAGGTTTTTCAGACAATCAGAATTGATTTCGCAATAACATTACAGATAACGAGATTTTACCATACTTAGCAGTGTTACAGCATCCCAATCAAATTCAATTTAATTCTTCTTTTATTAAATGTTCACTCAGTAGAAGTAACAAGAGTTTTACTGAATTAAGTAATTTTATGTACGGATATAAGAGTAGAAATGAGGTAAGATTATGAAGACGTTTAGGGTAGACAAAAGATTGTCAACGATATGAAGCAGTTAAACTTATATTGATAACGGAAGAATTATCTCAGGATGGGGTTGTAAAAAAATATCGGTTCTCAGGAAGAATTTCTTAGAATGCAACTTCCTTCTTATCTACGGAATACTGAGCAGGATAGTTTGATTCCACACTGTGTATGTCGTCTGCCAGGACCTGATCATAAATGTCTGGATTGGTGGAACAAAGGAATATAGCTTGTCTGTGTAGTTGCCAAGGAATTATTAATAGATTAGCGAGAGTCATCCGACATTTCCTCTATGCAAAAGTGACTGTGTGGTTATGTTATGGGACCTTACCCATAATAACATAATGGACTATTCCATACGTAATAAATACTGCGCCTCAAGAGGAAGCAGAAAGTTCCGTCTGAAGTCTGAGTTCCGTCTGAAGTCTGAAGTGAAGTCCGTCAGTCGAGTCAGAGGCAGTCCGAAACAGAGTCCCGTTCAGACAATTACTACTAAAACTGATTGTTCGTACTAACACTTTTCTACTTCACTGTATATATTCCTGTTTGTAATATATCTGTGTTATTCAATACCTGTATTCGAGTTCTTCTTTATTGGTTCTACCTTGGACTATCACCGTGGTACAAGGAACCGGACCATAACAGGTTAAAAGTAATTTAGGCCACGTTTACTTCTATTAATGGAAGTGGGGATTCGCCAACTGTAACCCAGATATGTAACCAATATTCATTGTTTATATCTGACATCTGTAAAGATAGTACATATCAAGAGGAGTCTTTTCTAAAGTGTATCTCCATGCGTCTTTGTAGTATTATCGACTTACTTGAGGATAAATGATTAAAAAAAATCATTTTTTCGCGAAACTGTGATCTTAATCAATATTGTCATTCAAGAAACTTTCTTCTTGAATAATTGTTTGGCAACTACGATGATTTTTTTTATCGATGTCTTAGGAAGTTCATCTTTAACTTTTTATCATAAATTATCATAGAAATTCTCAACGCAACTTGTCAAACGGGACGACGTATTGTCAGAACTAAACAGAAATAAACCAGCCTGTCTCATGAACCGCTGTGTCTTATACGTCTGTGTTTACACATGAGAGCGTGAATTCTTTCGCATATCGATCGCTGTATTCCTCTGTGCGTTTTGATCTGACAGATACAGCAACCTACATTCATACTTCATGAAACGTAAAGCTCTAACGCTGTCCGTTGACAGCTCGCACACGAAGATCAAAGGCATGTGTAAATCTCTATATCACGGTGAAGTTTGCTGATGCAAGATACGCTGAGGAGTACAACACACGACATTGAGAATACTAGAATTGGTATTATTTTGCCGATAAAGCTCCGTGTGAAAATGGTGACATTCGACGATATATAGCTATATTACAAATGATATGTAATTCAGAAAATTCAAATGAAAAGCGCATAGAATATTTTCCTGTCTATAGTACCTGTTTTCCGTAGGAACAAAATATTCTTTATTTCGTTTCATGTGCCATGTTTTTTCAAGAAGTAGGCAATTATGGCTATCCATCTCCATCTATCCCTTGCAGCTTTAAACAATTTCCTTCCCTGTGCTTCATCTCCCAGAATACGTTCCATCATCCAACTGTCCAAGTCTGCCAGGTATGACATTCGTTGTTTTCCCTTGTCTCTCTTTGCCTCAATTCGACCCGTGAGTATCAGATTCTCCAAGACCTCCTTTCTCGTTATGTGTCCCAGGAACATCATCTGCTTCTTCCTGATATTAAGTATAAAACTCCTCCTTGATTGCAAGATCTCTTGGATATCATCGTTGTGTCACACACTCAGTCCATGATATCTTTAACTTCCTTCTGTAGAACCACATTTATGTGGCTTCGAGTCTCTTCTTCATCATTGAGGACATCGTCCAACATTCGCTGCCGTAAAAAAGGACAGATGTCACGCCACAACTCAGTATTCTTTTCTTTGTTACCAAATAAATCTCACTGATTCGCAGTACTCTACACAGCTTTGGAAATGCGTCCTTGGCCATCCCAATACGCCTACAGATCTCAGTGTCGCACTTACCGTCCTCTGTCAAAGCGCTTCCCAGGTATTTAAACTTCCGCGTTTGCTTGATTCTAGTGTTTCCGACCTTCAAATCGCATTTCGGGTTCATCCTCTTACTGACGACCATTCCATTCACTTCGTTTTATGCTTAGTCCCTTACAATCTGTCGCTACCATAGGAGATTCCGGAATTTCATTTCTGTCTCTGCTATCAGTTCTCTGTCATTACAAACTATATATATATATATATATATATATATATATATATATATATATATATATATATAACTAGACTCGTTTCGAAAAACCTGGAATTTTTGATTTGCTAATAATCAAATCAATCTCGAGGGAAAAAAAGGTTTTTAAAAAAAAGATCCACAAACATGAACTTCTGCCGACAAAAAAAAAATCGCACAGATAGAGGTCTGAAACCAAAGAAAAAAACCCGATACGAGTAAACAACTAACAAAAGCGCTCAATACAACCGTAGAGCAGACCTAGATACACCTAGTGAGCCAGACAAACCTACCTAGGTTTCACCTAAACGGATCGTCAGGAAAGTAAACCTTACTTTCCTGACTATCCGTTTAGAGTGAAGTTCTAAATATTTGTCTGGCTCATAAATTAACAGGATATATATATATATATATATATATATATATATATATATATATATATATATATATATATATCGTAGAAATATCACTGATATAATATATGGAAATTTCAAGGAAATATCTATTATTAAAGAAATACTAACAATATTCGAAGTACTGATATGACTGAGGAATGTAAAATATGATGATGTCTGTTCATGTGTCTGAGGAAATAGTTCACATGCATCGAATTTAAAATACAATATTAGACGAACAGTGACTTGACGGTAATTACGGGAAAGGAATATTGGTAACTCGTGTCGTACGACAGGCTCAATGTTTAGGTTTTTGAAGTTTTTTTGTTTTTTTTTAACGAAGACAAAACGACGGAAGAGTGTATATCGACCGAGGAGATATATCTACCAACTTATTGTTATTCAACGAAGTGACACATATTAATAGAAATATAAGAAAAAAAAAACTAATATGCACGCTGAAATATTCTGAAAAATTGCTTCAGAAAATGTGGCAAATGAATGATTTCCTTAGGAGAGAACACAGGTGTCAACATTTCTAAACAAGAAAAATAGTAAACGAACAGCGTTAGTGTATATATATATATATATATATATATATATATATATATATATATATATATAAGCATTTCAATTCAAAGAAATGTGGGAGTTCCACTAGTACGCAAGGGCTATAGAGAGAGTAAGTAAGGGAAAGAGACTGGGTATAATCGGGGGTGGGATAAGAAA